GGTTTTGTCTGAGATAGGCATTTAATATTTATTGCTTATTTACAACTATACTCTCAATCTTATTTTATGAGAATGTACCAAATAAAAGTGGAGTTTATTTAGTTTTCTATCTAGGCAATGAAGTATACATGTGTTTTTACTTAAGAGGAAGTGAAGCAAATGAACTGGCATTTATTGAAGGCTATGTGTACCAGGTGATATGTAAGTAGCTTTATATAGGGTGGACATAAAGTTCGTGTGCAATTTATTATGTTAAATTATTTTAAATTGCACGCAAACTTAATGTCCACCCTGTATGTGCTTCACTTACAGCCCTTACAAAAAGGTAGTGTTTATCATTTTTGTAAACAAGAAATGGAGGCTTTAAAGGGGCAAGTCCAAGTATAGCTTCTAATTGTCAAAAGGGGGATCCAAGCATGGGTCTATCTGACAGTTGCCAGTGATCAGTAGTGTTGTTCTTTGAAGCTCTTGGAATTCTATAATAAAGGATTGCTGTGCCCTTCATATAATAAACCTTAAGGCCAGCAGGTAATAAAAGATGGAGTGGATGGAGAACAGTTGCAAGTGATTTTTGCTAGCATACAAAAATAAGAACAGAAAGTGGGCCAAGAAGAGGAGTTCTTGTAGCCAGGCAGAAATGTCTGTTAGAATATGTAGGAAGGGATCATATCATCATAGAACTTGAGTGAATGTGATCCTAAGGGAAGATTAGTAGCAGTGATTTTATCAGAAGTGAGTCATCTGACAGCTCTAATCAGAATCACCCCCTTTATTATAGCTGAGGTCATCCATGTGCTTTCTCTGATGTGCCTGTTTGAAGAAGAGATTGATTCCAGACAAGTGAAACATACCTGAAGATTCTGGCTTGGACATTATAAATGACCTGACAAGAAAGTGAGCTTCAGATTTTACAACTCAGTGGTGGTAATGTTAGAAGTATTTGCCAATCTGTGCTCTTTCATTGCAGTACTTTCCAAACTTCTACCAACTAACCCTAGAATGGTTGGAAAGTGAACACATAACCCAGGAATCTTGAGGCATTACTTGAGGTGATAAGGGAGTAATTTTTTTTTTTAATTCTCCTGTTTTATACTTAGGGAAAGCTTATGTTCATTTCTATCTGCTTGTTAAAATGAAAATAAATTATTTTACTGGTTGTCTCCTTACCTGTACCCTAAATCTTCAAGTACAATGGACAGCCTGAGAAGAGGACCCTTGTTTTACTGTGATTTAGCAGGCTCCTACCCATTGGCTGAGAGCAGGTACCCCAGTGTGAGGTACTATCTAACAGGGTTTGAGCTGCCACACAAGCATCTGCTGAGGCTTTACAGATAACAGAAGGGGCAACCACATTTTTGTTGACTTTCCTAAGCCTTGTGACTCCTTTACTTTTCTTGTTTCTTCTCTCCTCCAAGTATGGATTTCTCATTTAGCGAACTACCATGTTTTCTTTCTTTCACTTGATTGGCATAACTTTTTAAGGGCTGAGTCTCTTGATGTGTCCCAGCAGTTTTATTTTTGGAATTTTTTTTATTGTCTTACAGGGGAATGTAACCAAATATATCTGATTCTAACAGGTACATATTTTTTCCTCATGTTGCTACTTTATTTAAGGCACAGTTACATATATACATTATATATATGACTTAGTGTGGGTGTTTATTTGCTGTGGGTCTTTTCTGGGGCTACAGGATTGGGGGTGGTGGTGGTGGCAAATTGTCATTGTTGTCGCTTGGATAGAAGGAAACAAGCTCAGGCCAGCATATAAGAAAGCTAACTTCGGGTTATGAATGAGTACTAGCTTATGTATTGTACTTCTTGTTACTCCCAGGTGGTTTCCAATTTTTTGCAATCTTAACAAGACTTCAGTACTTTTTGGTATTGTAACAGGAGTGAGGGCTTCTGTTAAAGCCTCAGTTAAGTCAGAGTCTCACTTTTGTTGCCCTCAGTAGAGTGCTATGGTATCATAGCTCACAGCAACCTCAAACTCTTGGCCTTAAGTGATTCTCTTGCCTCAGCCTCCCAAGTAGCTGAGACTACAGGCACCTGCCACAATGCCCAGCTATTTTTAGAGATGGGGTCTTGCTCTTGCTCAGGCTGGTCTCAAACCTGTGGACTCAGACAATCCACCCACCTTGGCCTCCCGGAGTGCTAGGATTATAGGCATGAGCCACCGTGCCCAGCTTTGTAAAGTATTTTTATACCTTAATCTTATTTGAAAAAGGGTTGTTGCTGATTTACTGATACTAAACACTATTAATAGGTTCTTGTTAAGCTTTTGAATGTTTGTTTGGGACATCATTTGGTTCCAGCTTGCTATCTCTTGAAATCCCATTGTTGACCTTTAACTGGTCTAATTCAACTTGATCCATGTTTCCCCACTATCCTTTTGCAAAACCGTCTTTTGTAGTCCTATCTTTTGAGTGGTGCCCACTACAAAAATAGCTTTTTACATAGTCTTGCAAATTAAAAAAAGTTTTTGAAACTTAACATGTCATTGTATGTACCTTCTTAACAATTTTATGAGAAAAGTAGCATGGAGATTACTATTATGTTTTATAAATGAAGAAATAAGAAATGAGTGGGCATGATTTGCAGGTTAGTGACAAACGCAGGAATTGACCAGGTCTCTAGGCTTCAGTCCACTGAACCATTTTGCCTCAGTACCCTAGGTGTGTTTAGAAACATTTTTTGAAGTCTTCCAAAGTGAACAATTCAATGAAAGTTGAATTGTTTACAAAGAAGAAGATAGGCTGAAGATTTTTTTTTAAGATTGATTTTAAAAGACATTATCTTAAATTTAAGTAAGAAACTAGTTTTCTGAATTTCAAAAAAGGACTAGTCCCTGTTTTAGATAGGTTAAAGATGTATGCTTCTTGAAAACCAAGCAGACTAAATCAGAGAAGTGATAGTGAATGGTCAAGTTTTTATTTTTTTTTTCTTTATTTCTAGGGATGGTATTTTACTCCTTTGAGATATTTTGAAAAGGTCGTGGGTAGAAGGATCACACTTGGTGGTTCCTATTAGGAATTTTTGTGTCCATTAGATTGCTCCAAAGTAGTAATGGAAGTTCTTTAGCTAGAAGAATTTTTAAAAACTTACAGAAATGGTACATTTCAGTGAAGGAAAGCTGTGGCACTTAAAATATGACACTCCTTTTCTTTTGGCTGGAATTTAATAAAGCCTGATTAGAAGCTCTTGTTGGCAGCAAATGGGCATGACCAGTTAATTATTTTTGAAAATTGCCATTTGTTTGTAGACAAGGGAGAGAGAATGAGGGGAGAGAATAATCAAAGGAATGGTTGGAGTTTGAGAACTGTGCTGCAGTGATGAGAAATGTCCATGAGGTGGCGCCAAGAATTTGCCTAACTGTTGGATCTAGCGCCTGGAACACTTGAAGCCCATTTCAGCTTCTCCCCCCTTGTGAACTATGGCTCATCTGCAGCTGTGCCCTCAGTTCTGGTCCCTAACTTCCGCTGAACCCCCCTGGTACTGCTATTTGTGTTCTGTATTGGCATCTAACCACATTTTGCCTGCAGTGAAAGCTGTGGGTATTGGCTCCCCCTTCGGATGCTAAGTTTCTTGAGAGTAGGCTTCAGCTACATTTACTTGAAACCTTACTCCTTTCTGTATTTTCAGCAGTGCCAGGCCTAGACCTCTGAGTTGCATTACTGAATTAACGTCTGTTGGTGATTTGTGGGCTAATTGTGGACCTCTGTAGGCCTCACCTTCCATATATTTTTTTGCTTTGAAGAATGTTTACTGATATTTTCCCAGGTACATGAATGACTTTTGGGGGTAAGGATGGAGATTTTGTATCTGTAGATTGTGTAGTTTCATAGACTACTGACCAGCTACTTTCAGTAACTTCAAAGACAGTTGGTTATAGAAATCATTCCTGTGTTTGGGTCTTCCCTGTGGTCCTTTAGTTGGTCTTGCACTGGGACCTCCATGTGTGACAGACAACAGATGGCTGTGGAGTTCCCAGTCTGTGTGCCATGTAGGTAGGAGCTTGAGAAAAGCAGAAAATAATCCTCCTTTGTAGCACTCATACCTCTGTCTTGTTTTGTCTCTCAACAAAGAATGCTGTCACAGGCATAACCATCTGAATAGGAAAGAAAACCTACTTGTACCAAGGAAAGGCCTGGGAAGGGCAGCAATGTCATGAGCATATTTTAGTTGGATTATGTCATTTTATTGGGGACCATTAAATAAATAGATCTTGGGTTTTGCTTTTTCAGAAAACAGATAAGACTTAAACCAATTGGAAGAAAATCTGAAAAGGTTTCGTAACAATGTTATTTCATTAATACAGTCAAACCACATGGGCAGCTAAGTTATATTTTCTAGGCCTGACTCTAGGTCTGTCCTCTTTATTGTGTGATTTGATAACATAGTCAAAAGTTCTATGTTTGATAGCAAGCCCATAAGTGTGTAAAACTCTAAGCAAACATCATTTACATTTACTTAATTTAAAAATGAGTCACAATCTAGGCAGTACTGGAGATAGTAATGTTAATGTGGTATATGGCTGCTTCTATAAAGGCTGTGTAGTTCCTTAGTGAATTTGATAAACTACGGCCATATTTTTATTTCTAGAGCTGGAAGCACGCAAGTTAACAGTTTTGACCTCTGAATGTTTAGAGCACCAAAAATTCTGATTATGAGATGAAAAGAAAATGACAGCTTTTTTTGTCCATTAAAAAACCAAGACTCACTGATGGCATTCCTTTGTCCTTTGTCCTACAAACAGGGTACAAACTATGGCCTCTGCTCTTTGGGGTAGCATTATTTTAAAGAAGCCATCAGAATTGACTTGTTAGATACTTATCTTCTCAATGAATCTGAATTTTGGTTTATTATCTTTGGCAGTTGCATTTAAAATCAATGAGATGGGATGGGGTAGCTTATAAGTGAATTTTCAGAATTTTCTTTTTGGGAAAAAAATTGAGAACTGCTAATACAAATTGACATTGCTAATATAACTACTTTATTTTTAGGTGATTGGTGAAGACAATGTGGCAGTCCCCTCGCATCTCTATAAAGTGATCCTGGCCCGCAGAAGCCCAGTATCTACTGAACCTCTGGCACTAGGGGCCTTTGTGGTACCCAATGAACCTATTGGCTTCCAACCCCAGTTAACTGAATTCCAAGTGAGCCTCCAGGACCTGGAGAAGTTGTCAGGACTGGTGTTTTTTCCTCATTTGGATAGAACTAGTGGTATCAGGAATATCTGCTCTGTGGACACCTGTAAGCTCCTGGATTTCCAGGAGTTCACTCTATACCTGAGCACAAGAAAGATTGAGGGAGCCCGATCAGTGCTCAGACTAGAAAAGATCATGGAAAATTTGAAGAATGCAGGAGTTGAACCAGATGATTACTTCATGAGTCGCTATGAGAAGAAACTAGAAGAACTCAAAGCTAAGGAACAGTTAGGAGCCCAGACAAAAAAGCTATCTTAGAAGATGTGTGCCCTTATCTATGATGAAGCAAGTGTGCCCTCTCTTCAAGCTGATATATTTTAGTGGCTTTGCTTAAAAGTAATAATGGAATCCTAAGTTTACTATTAAAAATTCCCCTAAAAGATGAAGGTCTAGAACTTTTTGGTCAGTATTGTATTTAACTTGGAAACACATTATTAAGAAAGTTGTTATACCTATAAATCGAGGTCTAATCTGTGTGAAGTTAACTGGAGAACTATGTCCATAGATGGAACTGCATTTGTGTCTCTCTGGATATATAGTAGTATGTGAAGGGACTGTTTAGTCCCATGCCTTCAAATCATGCATTGTCTTAAGTGTACCTGCTCAGCCTTTTGGGAACACAACATTGCACTTCTTTTTTCTCCTGTGACCTGAGTTGGTCTTGGAGATAGCTTTTAGAAATCCTCTATGTGTTAATCTTTCCACTTGTACTGATCTTTGTTTCTTGTTTCTCCTCTCATGAACCTACTATTTCTCTACTTCTGTCTATATAGAAGCACTCAGCAACTATAGTTTCAGTTTACTTAGTGCGTTCTGTCTGTGTGGCTCAGTGTATTTTCTCACAATGGCCCTCTGAGATAAATAATGTCACTATCCCCATTTTTCCTCGGAGAAAATTGAGGCTTAGAGAGCTTAGTATCTTGCCCAAAGTTCACCTTCCTAAAGAAGTCTGAGATACACAGGTCTGGAGTATACAGGGTTAAGAAAAAAACTAAGATAGATTGAAATCTTCCCTGACATGAATTTTTCTCTCAGAAGTATATACCTATTTCCACTGGTGCCTGTGCCTTAGGATTACTTGGTAAGAAGTGTCTGGTATCTTGTCTCCTTTGCAAGCCAAAGGGACTTAATGTCCTTTGACTTGAGTTTACCTCAGCTCCTCAGAAAGAGATAGAGCAGCTACTTAGGAGTTAGGACAAAGCTTTGTAGGGTTTATCAGAACCCTTGCTTGCCTCCAGGGGTGCAGTTCTTCTAGAGCCAACTAGAAGATGGTGCCAACTCGGTGTGTTCTTTGTTTTCCAGATGAATTTTTGTTAAAATTAACCTAAGAAGGGACTATGCGCACAGGGTCACCAGGTTATGATTTGCTTGCCTCTGTCTCTGTGTGTCTACCTGGGTAGTGTGGGGCAGGGGGTACTTTGGACCAAAGGTCCAAGGCAGTTATTTCTGGGGGAAATGGTGGTGGTTTTTCTGAGCCAGATCTCTAGTTTGAGTCCTTTTATAGACTCTTATAAGTATAGGCAGTAAAATGTTTAGAGGGCATAAGAACTTGTCTAAACCTGTCATATTACTGCTATCTTTCCAAGTGGTATTACAAGAACAATTTTTGTGGTGTTTTTGTGTTTTTCTCTAACAAATGCCAAGGCTTTAAGATAAAGATAAGATTATAATGATTGACCTTGTTCTGCTCCTTCATTTGGGTAAAAAAGAAAAGTTGAGGGGTCAGAACACAGTAGCCTGATTAATACCGTTCTGTTTTATCACACTGTTCCCCATTAACTTGTGCCAAGTCCTCCTCTTTTCAGGCATATAGAGCCAAAATGTCACTGTGACCAAACAGTCTGTTATTTTCTGTCCTCATTGGAGAGGTGATGGTGGGACCTGGGTGTTTCTTCTGGAGCTTGAGGGGGTAGCTCTGTGGAATAAGTCCTAGGTACTTACTGCCTATCTCCAGAGGCAGGCTTCCTACTCCCTTCCCCTGTCACCATGCTCTGCTCTGTTCTGCTGACCTGAATTGCCAGCAGCCTTGGAGTTATTTTTTTTGCCCCTTTCATTCCTGCCTCTCCACTTAGATGGTAGAGAATCTTGATTTTTAGATCAATAAGTGTCTTAGGTTTTTATTTCCTATGAAAGATGCTACCTGGTCATTGTGAAAGATGGAGATAAGAGTTTGTAAGACAAAATTGTGGTCTGCCTCTCCTCATTTTGATATGTAAAAATTTTGTTGGATATAGCAGTGATGCCTGAATTATTGTCTCAACACTTTAAGAGTACCCCAAATAAACTTGAAATGTAAACATTGACTAGAGCTTAGAATTTTCTTCTGGGTCAGATCACTTCAGACCGCTTAATGTGGCTGTTAATTACTCTGGATTCTGGTGCAGCAGATCCCTAGGCTTCTCTCCACCATCAGATATGTCTCTCTAGATGCATATTAGAGGAACATCCAATTACTAAATGAACTTGAGCAGATCACTGTCCAGTCAGTACCTTTCTGGGTCCAGCTGATTTTCAGGCTGAGTGTGGAACTCTACTTTTCCATTCCTTTCACCCTCTGAGAGTCCTGCTCTGAGGGAAGGCTGCATTCGAAGAACAACTAGTCTGGTGGGTCTTGTTGCTCAAAGCCCCAATCTATGGGAGAAGGGGCTTCTTCCCTCAGCTTTCTCTGCTTTCAGTGACATCTTTATTGTGAAATTCCAAATTCTTGGGTCTCTGGATTGAGACTATTTCACTAATGTTGTATGCAGCATAATAGTGTAAGTTGCAAAGGTTAGGAGAATGGATATCAGCCCCAATACTTGTTAGCATTTCTGCCCTCACACTTTGACCTTCACTTAGCTAAAAACTTCTTGCCACAAAACTACTTTTGGGGCTTTGATTAGAGCTGTAGGCTGAGCCCTATACTTGGAATGACTTTGAGTGTTGCCATGTCATCTGTCCCCTGGCTTCATCCTTGTGAGTACGTGTCACTGACATCAACTCTATGATCGCAAACTTCCCATTTAGCAGTCCATCTCTGAACCTGTCTCTGCACCAAGGCTCTGCTGTTCAGTTCTCTGCTTATCCTTCTGCTCTGTGTCTCTTTCCTTCTTTTGGGCCTTTGTGGGACAACTCCATGCACCTCCTGGATCCTCACTCTATTTCATTCTGGCAGAGCTGGTCAGGGCTGACATCATACCTGGCGTGGAACTCCTGCTCCTGCCTGCCTCCACGCCCAGCCTCTCAATCTGGTTCTGTTTTGCTGGGTGTTATCATTCTTATAGATTGTCTATCAGGGACCAACTTGCAGGTTGTCAGAGTGGGCCAAGCAAGATGAACTGCATTTTGACATGGGCTCCATGTAATTCAGAGCAGTGGGGACATGGTAGACGGGTTTCTCTTTTCTTTTCTTTTTTTTTTTT